GCCCCCACCCCGCCAACCACACAAGTTAGCCACTGCTGCTTCTTTGGGGCTCGGGGCTCTTCCGGCTGTGAAGGCTTTCTCGTCACTGTGGAGTCCTCAAAAACATGGCCGGGGGCACAGCACAATGGTAAAAACAAAGGCAATATAGTGACTTTCTAAAGGCAAATATGCTTTATTCAAAGGATTCTCCTTCACTTTGAGTTTGAGGATTTTTAAAAATTATTTTTTATGACATGATGGTAAAAGCAGAAGATTCATTTTCTTAAATGACCCATTTGACAAAGGAAATGTTGGCATCCCTAAATAGGCCCCAAATGTTCTTTTGGCAGATAACGGAATTATAAAACCAGTGGTCTCTTGGCAATTAAAAACACACTACCTAGGCATTCAACCGTATCTCAAAGCAACAAGCACGTCTTCCCTTTTTCTTTTAAACCCTATCTTGGCCCCATCAGAGTGAGGATATATTTGAAGTGTCACTTTTCTTTTCATCCCCATAACACCAGCTTCTAGCACAGTTTCTAGCATGCAGTAGGGGCTCGACTGACATTTATGAAATAACGGAATAACTTTACAATAGGAAGCAGTTAGGTAAAGATGGGAGGTAGGGTGGCAGGTAGAAAGGTTGGGACTAAGGCAAGAGTGAATGGCATGAGTTCATTTCCAAGTCACCAGAATGGCATCTAGACAACGGAGGCAGGGTTTGGTGTTGCTACGCTATGAAGGTTAAGGTCTGAACAGGAAGGGCCTTATAGATCAGGCTAGGAAACATCCTTTTCCATTCTACATTGTCCAAAGCACATTATCTACTACTGTAAGCACCTTCATTAATGAAAAAAAATGTATTTAAGGAGCGTCTACTTTGTGCCAGGCACTCTCCGAGGCACTAGGGATGCCAGGTGTGACCCAAATATGATCCTGTACTTGGAGCTTAAGGTTTAATACAGCTGCACCCCCAAGGGTGAGACTTGGGTCTTGGTTATCCAACAGCCTGCACAGTACCTGGAAATTTGTCTGACATGATTTCCACCCAAAACGTTTGATGAAGGAAAGAAGGAATTGAAGAACAGAAGGCAGTGGAAGGCAGGACAGTCCCTGAGACTCACATCGTTGGAGAAAGGGATCGACCAGCAGTCATCCTGGAGCCCCCTGCACTCCCCAGACAAGACCCCACACTCGGTGCTGGTGTCTTGGTGGTCTGTGTCTCCTTCTCATGATCCCCTTGGCCCTGCCTAGCACTGGTGCCTTTGCTGGGGGTGGCACACTTGGGCCATCCGGGCTTCAGAGAAGGTAAAATGGGCCCTGGTGTCTAAGTGGAAACTTTGAATGCATTTTCCCAAAGACATGTGGCCAGGCATAGCAATTCGGTTCTATTACCATTGTGCTATAGACAGATTTTTGGTCAACGAAATTTCTTGAGGGTTGCCTTGGGGACCTAAATATCTCAGGCACATAAAATAATCTTCCTTTAAGAAAACATTCTTTACAAAAGAAAAAGGAAATATTCCTCTGATTTCTCATTCTGGCATGTAGACTTACAAGGTTAAAAATAAACTGCCTGGATTCCATGTCCCCTGTGAATTCGCTTGACCCAGGGGAAATTCTGGAGGCCAACTAGTAGATGTGTGAACTCTGTGCACGCAGAGTCTGGCTTCTTTGGCCCCACTCCTGGGAACCAGGAACTCCGTCCGCTCTTCAGAGAGCCTTGTCCATCGATGGATGTTGAGTAAGAAGTTAGACACTGAGTTCAGGTTTCTGATTTTATCTCGCCCACAGCCTTTTGGGGAATTGTGGACCAGGAATGCACGTGATCATCGTACCCCTGTTGCCCCACGCTCAGGGTGTCTAGATGGTTCGCTTGAGGACTGCCCCACAGAGGAGCCATGCCTATCTGCTGGCTCCAGTTTGCAGGGGAGTGTGATCTCCCAGAGCTGCCCTAGATCATGACCACGGCCCAGCCTCAGTCCAGCATCAGGGGCAGATTGAGTGGCACCCACTTGCCCAGAACTGACTGAGACACTCCTGCATTTGGCTCCTGACCCTTAGAGAAGGCTGGCTTCTTTGGCTTTCATAAGCACTTCCCACGTCTCCTTTTGTTTCGAGCACACGGCTACTGAGGCCGGGAGGGAGACAGCGTAATCTTCGAGCATTCCCTCTGCACGGACCTCGTTTCTGGTTGTGTTTTCATTTTGTTTCCTCCCTTCTTTCCCTCCCCAGCCTTCCCCACAGAATCTCCCTGCTGAGTTCACCTCTCAATGTCCTCTTTGTCTGGCCTGAACTCAGACAGTGTCTGACTTCTCCCTCACATCACTTTGGTTTTCAGCAGACCCCATCCATCTTCATTTTGCTCAGTCTCCATGAGAAAGGCTGCCCTTACTTCTCTCTCTCTGGTCTCAGTAAACAGGATGCTGCTCTGGGGGCAGTGAAGCTGCTCCTTCCACAGGCCAGCCTCATTTCCCAGGGCTTCAGTTTCACAGGTGGCAATCCTATCTTCCGTGTCGTCTCAGTTTCCCAGACGTGTGTCCAGACATGCAGCAGATATCGCATGCACCAGGGTTCTCTACGCAGAAGGCTCAGCACTTAATCCTCACAAAACAGCCTGTAGCACCTTGAATGAGGAGACCCCTGACCCTGACCCTAACCCTGGTCCTAGTTAGAGCAAGGCTGCATCCATATTCGTTTTCTCCACTTACACTCGTTGGGGCCATAAACTAGACCACAGCATCTCATTCATAACCAGTCAGCCGTGGCTGCCACACACAAAAAGAAGAAACAAACCGCCATCGAGCCCATTCGAGTTCATAGCCACCCTAGATCAGGATCCCAGGCTGTGTCCCTTTTTATGGGGACAGACAACCTTATCTTCCTCCTGTAAAGTAGCCGGTGGGTTTGAACCACAGACCTTGCCATTAGCAATCCAGCGCTTACCTAGGGCTCCTTCACTGGTCACCAATGCATTCTAGAGAAGGATAAACTGAAGGCAGTCACGTGTACCCAGTCAACTTCCCAGAGCCTTTGGAAAACCAGTTCTTGTTAAAAATTGAGGTGGAAATGGTCAGGGAGAATTGAAGATGACGGTCCCACATCTACTCATCATATCATTAGCATCTTACTGTCACCTGATGTTTCTCTAGTAAATAGTGACAGAGTACTCACGATTTCTAAATACATGTATTTTGTAAATATGGATAGATCTGCTAAGAACATAATAATATGGAATAACAATAAACGAATGGAAAATCGCTTACATTTTATACAATAATATCTATTTGCATCGCCTGGTACAGTAAAGTAAAAGAAAAACAGAGCCCTACACATTCATGTGTTTATCTTGCCCACCACAGTCTGGAAAGTGTTAACTGAATGCAAATGACAGTCACCCTCGTGCTGCCTTCTGCCTCATTTGCCTCCTCTGTGGGGCAGTGCTTGTCTGGTGGTGGGACTCCGGTTTCCTAGGGGAGTGTGACCCCTTTGAAGAAGAAACCCTTCATTCCGGGAGGGGAAGGGGAGCATTCCCTGCTTACAGGTGCGAACACAGATGAGCTCCAGGTCACCGTGACTGGTTCATTGACTGGTAGTTAGTGGGGGTGATGGGGGCCCTCGTTCTGTCCTGACTCATGGCAACCCCATGTGTGCCGAAGGCAATTGCCTCCCAGTGTTTTCAAGGCTGGGACCTTTTGGAAGCCGGTCACCAGTTCTTTCTTCCAAAGCGCCTCTGGGTGGGTTCAAATGGCAAGCATTTGCTTAGGAATCAAGCTATTGACCAGCTTGTCACGCAGGGAACCTAGCGGTATCCAGAATCAGGACTCTCACACTCGTGTTCTGGAGTGGACCAAGATTCTCTTCCATCACGCCTGCTGCTGTCGGCAGGAAGAGGCTGTGTAGGGATTTCAGATGCGGAGGCTGGCTGGTGGTGAGGTTTTATGTATCGAGAGAAAGCATCCCAGGAGAGAGTTCCTCCTTGGTACTTCTTGGGGCTTTGGTCAGGCGCTGTCAAGTCGTGTCCAGCTCACAGCAACCCGACGGTTGTCTGAAGGAAACGCCGCCCGGTCCCAACTGCTGCTCATTCCGAGCCTATTGTAGCCCCTGTGGCAGCCCATCTCACTGAGGGCCTTCCCCTTGTTTGCTGCCCTCCTGTTACTATTTTAAGAAAACACGTTTTCTCCAAAGCAGGCACAGCACTGGGTAAGTGAAGGTCCGTGGGAAGCGGGATGGTGGCCGCGGGGCTTGCAGGCGCTCCCTCGGCCGTCACAGTCCATTCGCGTTGAGAGAAAACTAGGTGGAGCGGCGAGGTGTGATCTGGCACGCAGACCAGAAGTCACAGCCGCCCTCTCTTGGGCCCCGCCATCTGAAAATGTGTGCGAGCCCCCCGGGTTCCCATCCTGCCAGTGGGTCACAGACTCTATGGTGGACCACAGCTTTGGAATCCCTCAGCCAGGGAGGACGTTCCTGGGCTGATGGAGGTAGCCAAACCAGCGCAGCCTGCCCCAGAGCTGCGATGCAGCATGGGTGAGTCCCCAGATCGGGGAAGACGAGCAAAGAAGCTGTGAAAACACAGTTCTGAATTAGGCCACAGCCTCTGGGGGATTCGGCCAAGGGGGACAAGGCCGGGAGGCGGCAGCTGCAGGGCCTCCGAAGCACGGTTCCCTGTCGCCGGGAGCAGCCAGTCTAACCGATTGGAACTTCAATCCCAACCCAAGCCTTGAGATCCTCAAAGCTGTTGTAAGTTCCCCAAACAATCTACGCTTGTTAGCTCAACTGGTTTTGGGGGTGGGGGGTTGTTAAGCGGAGGAGGGAGGAATGAAGTAAACCCAGGCAGGCAGCGGCTGCCATTTTCATTTCATAGATGAAGACATTGATTTGGGGTGATGGTAAGTGTCTATGAAGGGTCACAACACCAGGAAAGCCCACCGTGGAAGAGCAGTCCCCTGATTTCTAAGCCCGGTCCCTTCCACCAGGGGACATCGCCTGTCCACGGAGTGCCTGGGGTAGTGGGATGGACCCGTTCGAGCGAAGGAGGAAGCGTTCCGGGGAGTGCTTCTGAGAAAAAGAGGAAGACTGGTGGGTGAAGCCCATGTCTGGTAGAGCCTACAGTGGGACTTGGAGGAGGAGGAGGAGGAGGCTGAAGAGGCCCGGAAGAAACAGGAAAGGGCCTGGCCTGAGGTACTGCCCCAAGGACGAACAGGGCGAGTCCAAGTTGGGTAATGGAAAGCAGCCGGCCAGCTCTGGCAGCGGATAAGGCGTAGATCTAGTGGTTCTCAACCTTTCTCATGCCGCCACCCTTTCATACCGTCCCTCAGGTTGTGGTGACCCCCCAACCATCAAATTATTTTCGTTGCTACTTCATCACTGTAATTTTGCAACTGTTATGAATTGGGTGACCCCTGTGAAAGGGTCATTTGACCTCCAAAGGGGTGGCGACCCACAGGTTGAGAACTGCTGGAGGGACCTGTGGAAGACAACCTGAGACTTCCTGCTGGAGAAGCCAGCGCTAAGCTGCCCTCACCCCTGCTCGGGTCAGGTAGACCCACCGTCTTGGGTAGACACTGGTGTAGCATTTCAGCAGAGATGCTGAAGGGATGCCACCGTCATGATCTTTAAACAGCGGGTTTGCCTCACAGCCACAAGAGAGACAGGTCAAGATACTTTGTGCCAGGCATGGCGGAGACCAGAGGTGCCCAGCACACCTGACTCAGGTGATATCTCAAGCCTGCCCTGTGCTCACCTCCTGAATATTCTGCTTCACCCGGCTGTCAGAGGGATGCAGGATCGTCCCCATCACTTTCGCGTTGCCGCAGACGACCAGGGCTTCGTCTGGAGCTTCCGTGTTGATTCCTACTCGGCCACGACAGACAACGGATTCTGGAATTTGTCCTCGCTGCCATAATGCATCACTGTCATTTTCAAATTGCCCAGGGTTAGAGGCCTGGAAAGAAATCAATAAGTATAATACAATTAAAGTTACAGAAACAGGAATGGTTGATCGCCGAGTTCTTCATAACAAAGGAGAAAGGAACATTATGCAAGTTTTTCACACAAGAACTATGGCCGTTAGATTTTAGATCAACGTGGGCCTGTATGAATGCGTAGAGGGGGCATCCAACCTATCAATCTGCTAATGCCTCCTTGGGGGTATGGCCTTTGCTAAAAGAAAGACAATGAGAAATTCCCTTCCTCTCGCTGCCCCTTTGCCCTCCCTGCTTGCCAGGACTCTGTGTCTGCCTTCAGGGCTGGCTCCAAGTGGGCACTGACCCTGGGAACCACCTCTGAGCTGCTGTCGCCTGCCATGTGCTCACCGACCTTGGCTCCGCAGAGCTGCCTGTGATCGCCCTGCTTCTACGTCACCATTCAGAGTTGGCACAAACAATTATGAGCTTACTTGCTAACCCAAAGGTTGGCAGTTTGAAATCATCCGGTGGCTCCTTTGCAGCTAAATCAGGAAATCTTTTTCCATAAGATTGCAGCCAAGAAAATCCTGTGAGCGCTTTCTCCTCTGTCATGGAATGTCATTCCATTCTATGATTTGGAATCAACTCCATGGCACCTGACAATACGCACATGTAGCCCAGTCATTTGTTGGTTTATATCAAACACCAAAATGAGTTCCTTAAAGTTTCGGACATACATTTTTATTCGTGCCATCACGTCATAGAGTTAGAAAAAAACCCTGCATGTTGTAGTCCAAGCTATGATACAAACTGCGTGGTCTTGCAGCAGTCACTTAATCTTTCGGTGCCGGGTCCTTCCTATGGAGAGCCAAGATAGCAATGTCTTCTTTGCCTATTGCACAGAGCTATGGGGGAAATCAACTGAAATTAGTGGACTGTGCAAAAACTTCTGAGCAGCTTCTTACGCATATGACGAAATAAAACAATCTAATAGTCTCTAATTCATCCTCCACACACCTAGCACCATTTAGTCCGCCCTCCTCTGCTACACACCTGTCGTGTTCCCTTCTTGAGCACACTGGAGACTGGGCTTTGGAGTTTCATAATTCTAGGGGATTCTGTTCACCAAAGGAGCACTGGTGGTGCCACCACTGAGCGCTCAGCTGCTGAAAGATGGGCAGGCCAGGAGAAAGGCCTGGTGGGTTGTTCCTTTAAGATTATAGTTAGGAAAACGCCAAAGAACAGTCTACTCCGTAATCCGGGATCTCTGTGCTTTGAGATCATGTCTCCCTCATCTAATACACAATCAATGCAAATGGTGCCCCCTGCAGGCGCTTGGAATAGGAACCTCATTAACGATGGTTTGGGGGCAACTCTTAATTTATGTTGGAAATGCAAAAAAGATTCACTGCCATCAAGTCAATTCTGACTCAGTGACCCTAGTGACAGAATAGAACTTCCTTGTGAGTTTCCAAGATTATAACTCTCTATTGGCGTAGAAAGCCTCATCTTTCTCCTGCGGAGCTGCTGGTGGTTTTGAACTGCTGACCTTGAGGCTAACAGACACGTAATCCACTGCACCACCAGAGCTCCTATGGAGAACTAAAATGTCTTTTGCTTTGTGATTGCTGGGACCCTAAAGGACCCAACAGGAGAGCGTGTGCTGAGGCAGGCAACTCATAGGAAACCCGTCTGGGGCCTTTCTGCGAGGGCTACAGAACACGAGTGAGGAATTGGGGGCCTTTCTGCGAGGGCTACAGAACACGAGCGAGGAATTGGGGGCCTTTCTGCGAGGGCTACAGAACACGAGCGAGGAATTGGGGGCCTTTCTGCGAGGGCTACAGAACACGAGAGAGGAATTGGGGGCCTTTCTGCGAGGGCTACAGAACACGAGCGAGGAAACGCTCTCTGCCCGTGCCATTCAAAGTGTGGTCCATAGTCCAGCAGACACTGGTGAGATGCTTGGTGGGTCTCAGGCCTATTGAACTGAAAAAATAAACAACCACCACAAAAACTGTGGGGGCGGGGCCTAATATCTGTATTGAAACAAGCTCTCCAGGGGATTCCGACTCAGAAATGTTGGAGAAATATTTTACACCAGGCACTTCTGGTCCCAAGCTACCCCTGCCTTGTTGACAGGAAGTTCTAGAGCAGACATTGCCCCCAGGTGGACTTCTTCGGGACTTCAGGAAAGGATGCTGTGTTGGGGGGGAGGAACTGAAAACACAGGGTCCCAGGATAGCTCTACTCACACACTCCCTCCCCCACCCACATCCCTGCTAGCCTTTGCATCTGCTGGGTCTCTATTGTCTTTCCTTGCCCTCCCCAGTGTTATTGTCCTCCCTCGTGCCACAGCAGCGAAAGGGGGAGTTCTTGGGGATGTGGCCATTTCTGTTCTTCTGGTAAAGAAACTGAAATAATGTATTAGTATTTAAGCCCTAGCAGGCCTTTGAAAGGCAGACAAAAGTAGTCATCTCTCCCGCTTGTAACAAGCACAGCAATGCCAAGGAGGTTTAATTATGTGTTTAAGACAGAAAGTGGAGCTGGGGGAAAGCCTGCAATTAACACAAGGGAATGCCGAAGGAACGCTACTGGAGGATGGCTCCCCAAAACAAAGACCTGGGAATTAAATCTGTTCTTCAGGTCCTTAATTTCCATGAAATCGATCCATTTCCATGACAGGACCATAGTATACTTCTAAAACTGCTTTGATTGACAACTCAGATGAGCAATGACAGGCGTCCTGCCCACCAATTTCTCTCGGGAGAATAATGCAGACAGGTAGGCTCTCTAGCACTCCTTCTGGAGGCCTGAAGCTCACCTTGTGCTCACCTGGATGCGGTCATCCTTGCCAATTAGTCAAAGATTCATCTATTTGGAGGAACCGGTTCAAGTTACACAATGAGTCAAGAGTTGCTAAATGTATTTTGTGGTTCACCGTTTAGTGTTCTAAAGTCTTGTGATATTTTTAAGGGCCCTGTTTTTTTCCGCAGGACCCTGTTATAAGTTGAGCTACTACAACTTTCAGGTCAGCAGTTCAAAACCACTGGCACTCTATGGGAGAACAATGAGGCCACCTGTTCCAGTAAAGAGTTTCCGTCTCAGAGACCCACAGTCCTACAAGGTCACTATGAGTTGGAATTGACTTGGCAGCAGGGAGTTTCAGTTTTGAATTTTCTTCCCACCCTACATGTTAGAGCCCAAACTAACCAGAACCAGGACGTGGCCAACGAGGCTCTTTTGCAGAAGGTAGGCCGGTCTGTCATCTGCCTAGCCCATGATGTCTCTTCCCCCAGGGGCCCTCTGAATCTCAGGGGCAGGCATTGTGTTCTGTGGACGTTTCTAAGGCTCACTGATTCGGTAGTGCCATTTTTCCAATCCCACTTTTCTCTTGGTTGGTTTAGATGTCAAGGGGTTAAAGAAACTCAAACGTTTGCTTTCATTTTCAGTTCTGTGATTTGAGGTCAAAACGAATGGATATCAGCAAAATATTTTAAGTTTGGTGGCCAGAAAGCTTGTGTTTTCCCCAGTATTGTTGTTTTCATTGCTGTTAAGGCAAATTTTGTATTGCCCCGCACACTTGTAGAAGAGGACTTTATCTCTACCCAAAATTATGGCTAAGAAAAAGCTACCACACTGAAATACAGCCTTAAAAAAGAATTCAGCGAATAACATGACAACAAATCTATACTAAAAATACTGTGTTCTGTATCCATACTGAATAGGAATCGCAGAATTCCTATTTCAGCTGCTCTAACTCATCATGAGCTAAATTAGCAGTATGCTTTGGCTCTGAGAGATGCCAATTACCCAAGAGTCCTGGCGAGCGGAGGGCCAGTGAGCACATCCCCCTTTGGTATTGTTGGGATACAGTCGCAGCTGCTAGCTGCAGACAACAGAAAGACCTCGCCACCAGGTAAATTGTTCGACGTGTGCAGGTGGCTAGTAAACTGTCTAATTCAAGTATGAGTTACTCCCGCTCAAAGGAGCACTTCCTGAGATCTAATCTATGCTAACTCTGAAAAGAATGGCATAGTCTGCCTTTATTCCTCCCTATTCGAATTTAGAAATCAACAAGCAGCGGGTTTCAGATTTTGGTTTAAGGCAGATGCATTCGTGAAGCAAAGCAATACCAGATTAGGGTTAGGTGAGCTGTCTAAAACAGCCCTGAAGCTTGCTAAGGAAAAGGCCAGAGGACGGCCCAGGCAGCTCTGCAATTGGCTTATGACCAAAGGAGAGAGCCCCGCCTCCCTAGTCCCACAGGAGCTTCGCTTGCCACAGGGCATATCATGGCTCCAAAAAGCACAGCCCCAGCACGCATCCTCTGTGGCACGCAGTCCCAGGTAGGTGCCTTCCTTCATTATTACTTCATTACTCCAGCCATCATTACTTCACCTCCATTAAAACTCTGAGGTGCAGTTTAAGAAAGTCCACTAATAGGTGGCTTTTCACTTTTAATAGACTAAAGGAATTGGCCTGAGAGCCCTTTGTTTCAGAACAGCTGGAGGCAAGCACAGAAAAATGCTATTTCCCCACTAGGCAGAATTTTCTTCCCAGGGTCTAAGGTTAGACCTTAGACCTGGACATATCCATACTGACCACTTGTTCCTACTGGAGTTTCGTGTTTTCTCTTTCTTGTTTCAAAAACTGCAATAACATAGCCCCCTCCAGGGCTGCCAAGCCTGTGACCTCAGGCCCTTGGCAGTCCCAGCAGCAGCCAGACTGAACTCATACAGCTGCGGCGGCAGCTGCCAACTGCAACATGTCTTCGTGGCTGCCAAGGTTCATGTCCACAGCTGTGGCCAATCACTCATTCGGCAAAATATGCTACACCTTGACTCTGTACGAAGCAGTGACTCAGATGCCCCTGGAGTCACCAATCATTTGAGGACAAGGACACGACTTTCTGCCACTTTCCCTACCTGTGGGTGCCCTGCAGGCTTGGGGGTCAGAGAGAACGGGGTTGTAATCCAGACCCCATCACTACAAACTGTGTGACTCATGAGTGAATGAGTTAGCCTCTTGAGACTAAGTTCTT